ACAATGGGCCCTCTGTACCTTGCACTATTTCTACCAAGGTCACTGTTACACCGTACATGCGGAAAGTCATTAATACGCCTTAGATTATAATTACTATCAATGTTGCGTTTTGTGAAAAGGGCAGTAAGTTGATCAGGTAAACTATTATAATGTACTTGATACATTATAGAAGCGAGTCTACGTTTGTAAATATAGCCTAATGATTTCCATTTAACTAGGTCAAGGACGTCAGAGTCAGGAGTTTCGCTGGGCAGTTTATGGATTAGTTTGGCTGCTTTCAAGTGTAAATGTTCCAATTCATTAAATGTAGATGGTGAACAGGACCCCCAAATAGCAATGCAGTATGTGATGCTTGGGACAATCCCAACTCTTTCAGAAAATGACGAAAATAATACACAAAGCCAGTTTAACCTGCACGTGTTGTTTGAGTGTAAGTTCGCGCACAAGCGCGATCGAAAAAAGTTCATCGTACGCTATTTCATAATTTGAAACGTTCGTAATGAGGAGAGAAAAAGGTTTACAAAGTGTGAAACATGAACACATGGCTTTCTTACCTCTCGCAATGAATGGCAAAAATAAAACACAAATCCAGATTAGCCTACACATTGCTCGAATTTATCTCGGCGCCCATCACAGCAAATGGCACTGCAAAGTTCGGTGGGCGTTGAGAGGGTTTGGTTTGTAGTCACATAGTCTTGCGGGCTCAAGAAAGAAAACATCGCAACAACTGAAGATAATCGTGGGGAGGTGGCAGGATTAAAATGAGAAACGGTTTGTAGCAACACTTCCATCCTTTCTAGGTTCACAAATTATCGGGAAAAAAAAAATCGAACTGTCAATCATTTAAACTGGCAGCAGGTTAGACTGAAGAAGGAGTATGTGAACGAGTAAGTCGAACAAAGTGTCTTTGTTTAGCCCACCCCGCCACGCGGCAGCTTTGTCATTCATTCCAGCTCTTTATCCGATTTTTACTTTATCGTTATCCATTCGAGGGAAGCGAGAGAGAAGAGAACTTGCGACCAATCAACTAAGAAAATTAAATAGCGCTCCTCTCTAATTGCCTCAGTTTGATAAAATATGAAGCAAACTACCGTATCCTTCTGGATTTCATAAAGAAAACACCATCCAAGACCCTTAGATCTCTCTTTTCACAACGAATACGCAAAATAAAACTTTACATTGAAAGCGAGACACAACGAACACAATTTTCTTCCAAAATTAATTTTCGGAAATGTCCGTTGAACTTCGTTTTGGCCATAATAATCTGTCAATCAAGTTTCAGAGGAAGAAAAAAAGCCCTGTTCAACAGAATTACCGAAGAGTTCAAAAGGAAATGAAATGATGAGAGCATGATAATTATCCTCGTCTGGATTTAACAGTGATCGTGTCATGTTCTGGGTGAGTATACGAAGATCCATACACGATGACTCAGCAATTTTCCTTAGAGCCAACTTCCGGGGAGCCCACAGCTCCCTTCGGTGGGAGTAAGCGGAGTCCGAATGAACGTTCGGTTAGCCCGCTGCAGCGTCAGAAGAAACAAACACCTAGTATATAACTCACCTCGTGGGTTTTCGAAGAATTAAATTTGAAGAACTGGCTTGGCTAAGCTTCCTCCTCTACCCTATCACGATGCCATAGATAGAGAATATGCAGTTTGATACGGGCATATCCCCTAACTTGCGAACTAGGGCGTAAAAAGGGGTATACACAGTACAATGGCAACTATGTCTACCTTTCGTGTGCTGCAGATTACATCCGGGATCGGGAATGTCAAGTATGCTGACGTCATAATGAAATGCCCGGACTCATACACCTTATTCCAAAATGGCTGAGACTTTATAATTCTTTTCTGTTCATGTAAATTAGCCCTCGATGCCTCGATTCTACCAAGAAATTCTTTTCAATTCTGAAGATGCGATCGAGGCATCGAGGGCCAATTAACATAAGTATAAAAGAATAATACAATGGTGGCTATTTTGGAATAAGATGTATACACCAAGTGAATTCAATGAGTCAGTAGTGGGTTAATAGGGTTTATTTGAACGGACAAGAGCCCTTTGTTCTCCGTCTCTAAGGTTATTTATTTTGTACATTACATTACATTACATTCTCCTCGGTTTTCACGGCCATGGAAACGTCCATGAATCCCCTACGATTATATTTTACCAATGTTTTTCGAAATCTATCATCGAGGAACAATTAATTTCTCTGAATTTTAACCTTCGTTACCTCTTAGTACTCTGGAATTTTTTTAATGTTGCGAGCCATGAACAATTCTAGTGACAAATTTTTTTGATAATGTGTTTCTATTCCTACATGATTCCGAAATATAATAACATTATGGGAATACCCACTCTTAATAGCCTAGGCTTGTCATGTTCTGGCAAGCTCTTCAAGATAATAGCAAGATAGGTTCCCAAAAAGATCATTATCTTCATCATTAAAACTTAATTTTTCACGTTATCATCCTTATTATTTTTCGTCAACATTATTATTATCTATATCACTGGTATTAGTACTAATACAAGACAGCATAACATAACCAGTGAATTAAGGCTGAAAGTTTCTAAAGAAACTGTGGTGCTGCGTCGGTGGGGGTAACAAGGTAATTTGGTTGAAATTGTAAATTGGCCACCGTAACGAATAAAAAAGCTGACGTTTCTTCGCTCTAACATAACAGTTTTTCAAGGAGGAATAAATACAAAAACACAAGAATACCCCAAAAGGGATGGAAGAAGGTTTGAGATAAAGAAAATAGCACAAATTGTAAATGAAGATCAAGGGTAAGTTAGTCTAACTTTTGTAAGATGCATGCAGCACTAGGCTTTGTTAAAACTTGGTATTTGAGATACTAAGTTTTAAGAAAGCCGGGATATCTTATCCTATAAAACTTTGAAATAAAAAATATGCACGTTACCAAAACGTGATTTAAAGTGCATATGACACGAAATTTTTTTCTCTTGTTTCTTGTATTTGGATAGCTACAGAAAACGTTTCGAAGCCTTAAAAGTGCAGGAAAAATCTAAAAAGCAATTTTTTTTGCTTTCAAAATACGCGCAATTTGCTTTCAAATTTGTCCCGGTCATCGCGCGGCCAAAATCGCACGTGACGTCACATTGTGTACCCAGATTCTACAAAGTCAATTGAACTTTCAGAAGAGTCGGACTGAAAGGAATCATAAGAATCACTGGACATCTGTGCCTTTCAATGCCCTATCTGTTTACTACGAAGTACTGCAGAGTCCTCTTAGTGACAACAGACCTTCGCGGCAAGAGTACACGATGTGACGTCACGAATAACTTCGAAGGCGATAAACTACGTCCCAGTCTCCGGGACAAATTAGAAGGCAAATTGCGCGTATTTTGCAAGCAAAAAAATGCTTCTTACATTTTCCAGCACTATTAAAGCTTCGAAAGGTTTCCTATAGATATCTAACTACAAGAAACAAGAGAAAAAAATTTCGTGTCATGTGCACTTTAAAGTCTAAAATAAAACAAGTTGAAATGGAAAGTCGAAGAACAATATTGTCAGCATCTGAATTTTAAAGAAACTATGCCTTGAATGAAACAGATTGACCAGAAATAAATAATCATTTTAAATTAACGATTTGAAATTTACAGACTAAAATGTACAGAAACATTTGTCCCTTGAATAGTGAAAATTACAGGATAAATCAACATTATATTTATGAACACACAGTTAATATTGCAGCTCTTAATTCATCGGGAGGTGTCAGTGTGTTTCCAAAGATTTTCGAAGACAGCTTCCATGATTCATCCGTTGTTGACAGAGAAAAAGGTTTACAAAGTG